TAACACCGATTAAATAAAATAACTCATGCCCGTTCATCTTCCCCGCTGCTGTAACGTTAGCAGTTTTACTAAAATGCTATGCATTTAGCCCTATGTGACGTCTGTTTTTATATTGTTTGTCAGCACACATAGCCTACGTTACTATGTATCTGGATCAACTAGCCGAGTAGACAAATATAAATGTTTATTCATAACCATGCTGAAAATAAGTCAATAATGTTAGCTGATGCTAACTGTCTAGCTAACGAGCTTGCTGGTGCTAAATTGAGGTAATTTTTTTTAAATAAAGTCCAAATATTTTTATTCAACCACCTAGATAGATTACATCTGGGGAAAAAGAAAGGATGTGATGTTCAGAACATGGTAACTACAGTAATTATCAAAGTGGGAAGTGATGCCCTCTGGGGGCATTTGGCCAGGGGTGTTTTTTCACCACAGACAAGGTTTGAGAAGAAAAAAATCATTATGAAAATCTAATTATATTTTCCTTATTATATTCATTATTTCCTTATTGGTTATTTTGGGAAAATCCCAGGTATTTTGAGCAGTAGGATTATAAAAAAATATATGCTAATATAAAATTAAATGATAAAAGTAGCCTATATAAAACTGCAAAATAAATATTCATCTATCGGTACTTTTTACTTAAGTACATAAAAAATCAAGTACTTTTGTACTTTCACTCGAGTAAAATTGAAAACTGAGTACTTTTTTCTTTTACTGGAGTAATATTTTATTATACGTATCTATACTTTTACTCAAGTACTTGATTTGTGTGCTTTGTCCACCACTGACAGTGACTGTTGAATATTTGTGAATTGCAAAAAATCCTTTAACAGAGCAGTTTAATTTAACTACATAATAATCATTATCATTAATTGTCATTGCTTAACTACAGCTGTTTACTCTCAGATATGTGAAATAATTTTGTCTTACCTGATTAAACATGACTCATGACTATTAACACAGTCATCAAAGCAGTAGCATTTTAATCACAAAATGCTTCTGCCACGGTCCATTAAATGTAAGTTAATTTGTTAAAAATATATATATTAAATACGATTAATATTAATTAACAACAAAATTCTATTGGTGGTGTTGATTATTGATATCATCTAATGTTTCTAGAAATACTCTATTTCCAGGATTCCCAAACTTTTTTTCTCCATCAAACCCCTTTGACCTAAAATACAGTATTTACTTAATATCTACCCCCTGAAATTTTAAGTTAATATTTCAGTAATGTTCACAGTTCTCCTGATGCTGGTTAGGTGACAAGGCATGCAGATAAACAAATAAAATATTAAAAATTTTTAGTGTGTTTTTTTTGTTGTTTTTAAATTGTTTATTTATTGTAATTTTTCATTTTTAGGATTAAATGAATTATTAGCTTTTCACAAACTCTATTTGATAGCTTTTGATAACATGTTTATGGGTAATTCATATTATTAAAAGACTTTGCAGGAATATGATTTATTTTCATCCCATTTTAATTCTTTATTAAATTCAAATTACACTTCTACATCACATTGATACCTCAATGCAAATTTGATTCAAATGCAGGAATTTTCACTGCAGGCATTCTCAGTTCAGTTCTTCATAGCAAGATTCTGTCACTTGATGTGGTGCTAGAATGCATCTAATACTTCACGCTCTGTTTTTTAGGAGACGGCCAGGTGGATTTTGAGGAATTTGTTACTCTCCTGGGGCCCAAACTCTCGGCTGCCGGGATGCCTGACAAGTTCAACGGAACCAATTTTGACTCTGTGTTCTGGAAGGTGATTATTAGCCATTCCTGTCTTATTCCAAGTGACAACAGGCACAAAGTGTGCTGCTTCCGTCTGTCCCTGTCACACACAGAAACCAGATTAGATACACTTTCAATGCTCTCTATGAAATCCAACAAACAGACATGAATCACCTTATGGGAATTGCCTCCTATCCTGTAAACATGAGCCAAATTTGCATATTTGAATACATTTCAGTACAGATATATTGCTATGTGACATGATGACTTTAAGCAAGATTCATTAATAGATTTCATAACAGTCCCTTCCGCTGCATGTCTGCGAGTGAGAAGAGCAGAATATAATTTGTACGGACCATATGGTGATTCCCCCAAAGGGTTTGCTTCTCTAATCACAGCTCGCTGCTGGTGCATTTTTTAGCAGCGCGTTTGACCCCAAATAGCTACGGGGGTCTCCCTCGTAAACGTCTCTCTGTGTGATTATAAGTTCAGAGCTATGAATATGTGCATATACTGTATATATACTGTATATGTGCGCTGAAATCTAAATCAACCTCATCTACTTTTTTACGAAACATTCCTGGTCAGAAATTCATCAGTGCATGTTGTTTCAAAGGAAAGATACTTGTCTTTGTAATCAAAATGTATGCAAAACAAAACAACTTTCTGGAAAGATGTCCTTCAGTCCACTTTTAATAATCCAATTAATTCCTAAAGGACAAAATCATGAAATATGAGACATTATAGAAATGAAATGGGTTGCATATGTTGTTCAATTTTGACTTTTAATAAAGTTTGATCAAGTTGCATGAATGCATGAAATGTAGTTTGAGCGACTGAATGCTCAGCTGATCGTAACTCCTCCCACTATCAATTAACAAGATAAATAAGTGCATCCGTACTCACAGACATATGCTTACCCATCCTCCATCCCCAGCTCCTCCTTATAAAGATACATGATCACATAACTGCTTCTCCACGGAGATATATCATCTATCCAGCTCACCGTTGCTCAATCTGTCCAATTTCATTTACAGTACTGTATTACTCTGCATGGATTATATAACTGCTGCCTATACAAAAAAATCTGGTAATTGCTTAGGCTTCGGGGGGTTCAAACCTCAGCGAGGTTTGCTTGTGGACAGCTCAGAATCTGAACCCTTCAGAGCGAAGCCTGCCACCAAAGTAATGTTCAGGACCTCTACAATAATCTTAATCAAACAGAGTGGTCCTGACTAAACTGATAAAAATGTATACCTTTAATGCTTTGGATAAAAGCATCTACTGAATGCATAAATGTAATGCATTTAGACTAATTAAACATCAGAGAATTTCAGAATGAAATCATACGGTTTTGTCTCTGTTTTTAGTGTGATATGCAGAAGCTGACTGTGGAAGAGCTGAAGAGACTCTTATACGAAACCTTCTGTGACCACCTGACTATGAAGGACATCGAGAATATCATCATGACAGAGGAGAATCACATCGAAAATCCTGAGGACTGCCAGGTTGACATTGACAGTAAGAATGTTTTTTCTTTCTTAATGCACAACTCTGGCTGAAATACAAGTTGAATTATTATTACTTTCCTGTCAAAACCATTTCATCATCTTGTTTAATTTTGTAAGGTGTATAGAGGGGCTAAATTAGAATTTGGTGCATGAAGATCCACCCAAAAATCTTAATATCTTGATCTAGGCATACGCTACCATTCAAATGTTTGGGGTCAGTATTATTATTATTTTTTTGAATAAATAATAATTTTATTCAGCAAGGATGCATTAAATTAACCAAAAGTGACAGTTAAGACATTTATAATGTTGCTAAAGATTTCTATCTCAAATAAACACTGTTCTTTTGAACTTTCTATTTATCATGGATCTTGAAAAAAGTAGTTTTCACAAAATGTTAAGCAGAACAGCAGAAAGAAAAATAATTTTTTCTTGAGCAGCAAATCAGCATATTAGATTTCTGAAGGATCATGTTACACTGAAGACTGGAGTAATGATGCTGAAAATTCAGCTTTGCATCACATGAATAAATTACATTTTAAAATATATTAAAATAGAAAACACTTATTTTAAATTGTAAAAATGTTTCACAATATTGCTGTTTTAACCGTGTTTTTGATCAAATAAATGTAGCTTTGGTGAGCATAAGAAAATTGTTTCAAAAACCTTTAAAAAATCTTTCAACTCCAAACTTTTGAACGATGGTGTATGTGTGACATACAAATACAGCTTCTTCTTACAGTAGGTGAAATGCACAAAGACTTGACTAACTCGCAGTTGATTAAATAGTACAAAGAAGACATACATATGGTTATAAAATATTTTTATCATTACTTTTCAGTACATTTTTCATTCACATTCCCCTCAATTCTATCCACCAACTTTCATGGGCTTTCATGGAGTTGGTCGCAATACATCTGAGATTGTCTTATCTGTGAAGGATATTTGTGATGCCTCCTTTAATTTAGTCCAAAACAAGGTATCTTAGAAGGCGGCATAATACGTTTGGAATTTCCCTATGCTGCCTAAAAAGATTGCCTAGGCATGCATCTCACTAGGTTTTGGAAAGGAGATGTGGTTTCTTGCAATCCTACATATTTATAAACTTTTTTTGGCGAAGATACTATCTTTCAAACACTTTTTGGTCGCAATGTCCCACATTTTTCATTTCATTTCAATGAATCACCTCCAAACCTTGTCTTAACACTTTATTTCTCCCGATCTTCTGATTCATTTCTCTCTGCTTCTTCAGCGGAGAGTCCAACCCAGCAGGTGAAACAAACATGCGTACGGAAGAGTCTGATCTGCGCCTTCGCGATCGCTTTCATCATCAGTGTTATGCTTATCGCAGCCAATCAGGTGCTTCGCAGTGGCATGAAGTAACCGAATGGACCAATCACAACGTTGATTCAATTCAATATAACATATGACAGTGACAAAACAGGCTAAAAAAAAAATGCACACACAAACTGGAGCAGCTTAAAAGTTCATTTTATTTAGATGAAATCCAAATGTTGTGACTGAAATATTTTTGAGACGAGCTACAGCTTCCACTGGACAGAATTTTTCAGATTTGACAGCAAACGTAATGCACACAGATATATATAAACGCACACATACTGTGTCTTACCCAAAAAGGTATGATAAAAAGTACATGAAAAGAGAGGAAGAAGAAGTTTATACTGTAACGGACTCTTAAAAGTTTCCCCTTCAACCGCTCTCTCTCCCTCTTCAGTATGTTTTGGGTGAGTTTAGCCGCATGGACATCTCCAACCGAGGATCCTACTCTTCAATGCATGATGATGCATGGATTTACAATAGCCTGGATGTACCAGTAGAGCTCAGCTGTGCATCCATTCATCTATATATTAGATCCCAAAACAAATTTTCCAAAGAAAGACCCGTCTCACATGTATGAAGAGTTGGATATGCAGCAGAGGCCGTTTGTGACATCTTTTACATCCAGTATACTGATCCCCTTGCATGAGAATAAGGGCTGTTTAGGGCATGCTCATGTCATGCAATGTTAGTCTTGTGTTTGTCCAGTAACTATTGTTGGTTTTTACCAATTGCACATGCCTGAAATGATTGTAGTAGTACTCCATATGGCCAAAAGGGGGCGTGAAACATCCCAAAAGTGATACTATACCACTAGTGACATACCTGTACAGTATTAAAGGAATAGATCACCCAAAAATGAAAGTCACCTTCAGGCCATCCAAGATGCATATGAGTTAAAGGGTTAGTTCACCCCAAAATGAAAATTATGTCATTAATTACTCACCCTCATGTCGTTTCAAACCCGTAAGACCTTCGTTCATCTTCGGAACGCAAATTAAGATATTTTTGATGGAATCTGAGAGCTCTCTGGCCCTCCATAGACAGCAACGCAACTGAAATGTTCCCAGACAGAAACATAGCAACCGGGTTCAGACTACACAATATTTTTGTCGGACACGATAGTCACTGTGTCAGATTACACGATTTTGACTCCTAAAATCTTGTCGGTGTTGATAAAAACATTACAATAATCCACAAGTAATCCATACGACTCCAGTCCATTAATTAATGTCTTGTGAAGTGAATGTAAGAAACACATCCATCAGGATGTTTTTAACTTCAAACCATTGCTTCCGGCTGAAATACAAGTCCATAACTCATAATATCTCCACTAAAAAAAGTCATCTTATCTGAATCAGGAGAGAAATATGCACAGATCAAGCACCGTTTATAAGTGAAAACAGTCCAAAAAATTTCAAAACAGATATATTGGTGGATTTTCATGCGAGAGGACAACAGAGGACGGACTTTTCCCCTGGACAAAGCGTTATTATGAATTATGAACTCATATTTTGGCCAGTTTTAAAGTTGATGTCTTTAACGTCTAAACAAGACATTAATTGATGGACTGGAGTGGTGTGGATTACTCATGGATTATTGTGATGTTTTTATCAGCTGTTTGGACAAGTGATATAATGCTAAATTTATCCAAATCTGATCTGATGAAGAAACAAACTCCTCAACCTGAGGGTGAGCACATTTTCAGCAAATTTTGTTTTTGGGCGAACTATTCCTTTAAGTGTTTTACAGTACGTGGATCAAAATGATTTTCTTTTCACCTGTAATACACTATGCATTTTCAGGCTTACTGTGTGAACGATCAACAGTGCTTGGCAGTGCAAATGTAACCGTTACATTTTGCGAACATGTGCACTGTAGTTATCACATAGAGTTGATAATTAGGAGCTTTTGAATTGAAATGACACGACTGGCATGAAATAATACCAAATGATTACGTTAAGACACATTATAAAAGGAGTATTTGATTTCTGACATATCAGGAAATGATTTAATGGTTGTTTTTGAACCAAATCGATGTCCATTTAAGCTTATTACCAAACTTAAATGGATGGTCATGATGTTTTTATTCGTTCGCAATGTAAGGAATATGTGTATTAATATAACCTGAGAGCAAACACTGTGGTATGTCAGTGTTTCACTTCTATTTCAAAATATATTGTTCATATGTCCATATGAATGTTCCATTTGTGACGCTGTCCAGTGTTTTCCTGGGAAACATAGCAGTTTGTGTGCAGGTCGACTTGATGATAGCTAAGGTGTAAATCATGTTTCAAATATGAATGTCAGGGTTTGAATATGTATCAGCTGTAAGCGTGTCATTCTGTTGAAGGGCATTTTCCAGGGTATAACATTAGTTTTTAACTCTGCCCAGGGCCTGAATTGATTTAGCTGTTAGTTACAGCACCATGAAACTCTTATATTTGGATGTCCAGGTATAAATGAAATATGCAACGGATGGAAACACACAAGCACTACGATCGAGTGACAGTCAAAGAGGAGTCACAGGACAACAATGTACAGGTTTCCCCCATTATACAGGCACAATTCCTTATTCATTATTAGAAATGGGAAAGCTAATAATGTTCCCGAGCCGCAAGCAAAATATTATGGCTTGAAATAGCTAATTATCTTTAACCAGAGAATAGCTATTATTCAAAACTCATCCAGAATTGAAAAACCTGATAAGAAAATTCTCATTATATCATTACCGGATTGGCTGGTAACCCCGTCTGCCCCAGAGTTTTATTTGTGCTTGGTAAATCAGATCCAACAGAATGAATTATTCACAATAGCTGCTTATTAATGAAAGAGAAATACAAGTAAAGCAGAGCAGTGTTGAATGCTTAGTTTTAGGTGTATCACTCTGTAAAAGTGGCAACTTTCATTAAGGATCTATTTCTACTTGCTCTAACCCTTAAAAGTACTTTTGTTGGTATAACCTATTATAATAAGATTTAATAGATTTATATTTAATAATACATTAAATACAACATAAAAATGGTTTTATCTTAAATTAAATCACTTTTATTTGACCTAAAACCAGTTTGTTTAAATTAAAAATTGACCATGAATAAAAACAGTTAATGTAAGGTTTAAGATTTAATTTATTATTAAATGAAAGTACATTTTTGACCATGAATTAAGTTACTTATTTCATGTTACCAGTCAGTTTATGGTTTAAAATGAATTTAATTATTAAATTAAATTTTTGACCCTGAATAAAACCAGTTCACTTAAGGTTTTAAATAATTTAATTTATTAAATTCATGTTACCAGTCAGTTTATGGTTTAAAATTAATTTAATTATTAAACTAAATTTTTGACCATGAATAAAATCAGTTAATTTAAGGTTTAAAATTATTTAATTTATTATTAAATTAAATGTTTGACCCTGAATAAAACCAGTTCACTTAAGGTTTTAAATAATTTAATTTATTATTAAATTAAATTATATTTTTTACATGAATAAAACCAGTCAATTTAAGGTTTAAATTACTTTATTTACTTAATTTATTTTTAAATTAATCTACATTTTTGACATTAATAAAACCAGTTAATTTAAGGTGTTACCACATCAAGCAAAATTTTCAGGTTACCTGGCGCCTGAAACGCTGGCAAAAGACCCAAGACAAATGAAATGCAAACCGATGCCTTCTTGAAGTTGCCTTGTTCGATGCCGACAGGACATATATTTTGACTAAAAGCTTCTTTATCTTAAGCTTCATTACGCTCGTTACTGGGGGACACCTGTATATGTATCTTATGTTCCATTCTTAATTGGAACTTAAATGAAACATTCAAAATATATGGTTCATTATAATATACATTACATATTAAACCATATATTATATATAAGTATTTCATGTCTACTTGGAATCATGAAAAACGGTATCTGGAAAAAAAAAAAAATACATTTTTTATGAGGTTTGTTATTTGCGTCATCTTTCCTGAGGAGGGAAAATTGAGTATATATTTAAGCAATACATGAAAACAAATAGGAAATGTTGGTTGACAAATGCTAAGAACATATAACTGAGGATTTTATTGAGAATGTTGGTTTGTGCAAAAGAGGATGTTTTTCTCATTAATCAGACCAGTATAGTTTATTATCTGTAGAGCACTTTAGTAGCCAAGATTTTCGCATTGAAGTCACTTTTATTATAGCCAGATTTTTTTTTAATTACATAAATCATCACGATGTTTATGTTTGTAAGACTGAACCGATACATGTAGAGCTTCATTATTTTTGTTAGAGAGATGGCAATATATGACACAGGCTTTATTTGAGATGTGAACCACATTTCTGTGTTTTTCTAAAGAGACGCACAAAAATTCTGCTCACATTAATTTATGTAAACAAGTATTTGGCCGTGCTTCGGCCTGTTTCCATACTTGAGACGTCGAGCGTGTTGAATGTTGTCCTGTGACATTTCTTACTTTGCCTTACTTTGTTTTTTTTAATGATCATAAAGAATATTGTTTACAGTGATGGCATTTCTATGATATTCCTATCAGGTCTGAATATACTTCTGTTCGGGATGAACTATTTTTGAATGTGGATAATCATTGTGCCATACATATGTTTATATGTTTATTAGTGGGACTTACACTCCCTTGTGAAGTGTGTTTACCGAGTGCACAAATCTATGTATCCACCTGTGACATTGTACTGTATTCCAAATCAATAAAGATAATACCAAACTAAACCGGAAGAAGAGGCTTAAAAACAATTATTTCTCTCCTACAAACAGTTTAATACGGTGTCTGCACTGCAAACTAACAACTTGTTACTAAACCACAAAACTAGAATGGTCTTCACTGGTTTTGTTGCGTCATCTTGTTTCTAATACAGTGTACATGTGCCGTTTTTACATATTTAAAAGGCAGAGCCTGAAATTATTTTATATGTTTCGTATTTATTTTTCTTTTTGCCTTTTTCCAAAACCAATGATAAGTGAAGGGACAATAAGTTTTATTTATTGTCCATTTTATCAGGGTTATTGCAGGTTTTATTAAGGTGAATGTAAAACTTTTTAAAGACCTTTTTAAGACAAAGTATATACAATTTAAGGGAGAAGGGAACACAATACGTCAATATGTTCTCTAAATGTAAATGTCTAGTCAGTGCACAATGAGTTTAATTAGCAACACTTTTTCTAAATATAACCTCCAACTGATCTCCATTACGTTTTAATTCATTTTACCAAAATAAAAAAAAAAAGTGTAATTGCTCTCACCTGTTCCTCGTGTGTTTTCCTCCCTATTTATAGTGCCCCTTGCCCTACTGTCTTGGCAGGTCCGTGGTCATTCTTTCCCTCACTGTGTTTGTCTCTGTGGCTGAGTATGTGTTCCTGTCTGTTTGATCTTGTGCTCTAGTCTTGCCCTAGTCTTGTCTCTTGTAATTCTATGTTGTTGTCTTGCTCCTTGTTTTTGGATTTGGTCTGTTTTTGTCTTTTTGCTTAATTTTAGTATTAATTTAGTTCTCTTAGTCCTGATCTACTTTTCCAAGACATTCTAATTTATTGAGATGCACCTGTATATACAAGGTTGTTTTCCATGGCAAAATTGTACATGTTCTTCAATATTACAATGTAAAAAGTTTACATGTTTACTGACGAATAAAACATACTACATGAAATCTTGTATCAAATGTTCTACTAATAATATAATATGCTTCAATGTCCATGTCCATTGATGTATATTGGAAAAACTTCGAGGCCATTGAGAATTAGAATCAGTGAACATAAATCAGCAATTCGTAGACGTGATGTTACTTCTCCAGTGGCCAGACACTTTATTGA